CTCCTCGCGAACCCAGGCTCCTGGGCTCCTCGCGAACCCAGGCTCCTGGGCTCCTCGCGAACCCAGGCTCCTGGGCTCCTCGCGAACCCAGGCTCTTGGGTTCGCCTGGAGGTAAAAGAAAAAAAAAGGCCGGAGGAAGGAGAGGATGGGGAAGAAGATGAGGGTAAATCAGTAATTAAATATAAAAATTTTAATCATATTATCAATTTTTGCCAAATGGATTTTCCTCATAATTTAGTAAAATGGTAAAAAAAAAAAAGTTTTTCCGTTACTTAACCTGACACATCAGCCAAAATTTAACGGAAGGACTAAAAATGGACCGGATTTGTGAACAGTAAGGACCAAAAAGGGGATTTTTTCGGTATAGGAACTAAAAAAGGGCTTTTTCCTATAGTAGAGGGACCAAAAAGGGTATTTAACCATTTTACTTTTGAATCCGTGGTATGGTAATTAATTCTTGGATATTTGATTAGGTTCATGATCATTCTGTCAGTTTAGCACTAAGATCGAGTCTTTGGTTTAATGCGAGTGAGGTAAGTAAATTTATGGTAATGCTCGTACAGTTTTCAAAAGCATGTTTTGACTTGTTTTTGAAGTGGTGGCGGGACTAAACCCATGTTATGCAAAAGTAAGTATGACTAATTTTCAGTAAAATTTTTATGCTTTTCATTAAATTGAGCATGCCTACTTGAAATTTAATTGATTGTCCTGATGATTTGAAAGTGATTGGTGAATTATGATTTTTCTATTAACTTCTACCTGTTTTGTCTCCGATGTGGTCATGTTATTAGTGACCCTGCTAGTGGGGGTTAAACGCTAGCACATGTTGACATGTTATTGATAGAACCGGTTCGTTCGAGTGACCCTACTAGTGGGGTTATACACCAGCAAATAGTGACCCTGCTAGTGGGGACTATACACCAATGTTTTTGGACCCGGCCCGGTGGTTGGCCCGTTTTGGCCACCGGGTCCGGTTGAACTGGTTGAATCGGTTCACCCGACTGGTTCAACCGATCAACTAAAAAAACTCTTTTTTTTTTTACATATTTACAATGCTGCTCTGTTCGGTGCTTCTACGCTCTGTTCGGTGAAGGAGAAGCTGTTGCTGGGAAGGAGAGGAAGGCAAGGAAGATGAGCTGCCAAAACGATGGTGGTGAGAGCAGGGAGATCGGTCTGTCTGCTGTTCGGTGGAGGAAGGCAAGGGGTTGGAGAGGGCTGTTGACGGTGGTGGTTGACAACAGATGCAGAATTGCAGATCTGTTTTGTAGCTGTTGCTCTGTTCAGTGAAGAAGAAGCTGTTGCTAGGAAGGAGAGGAAGGCAACGAAGATGAGCTGCCAACATGATGGTGGTGAGAGCAAGGAGATCGATCTGTTTCTTCTTTCAAACACGGTGCTGGTGACTAGTGAGGGCAGGGAGAGCAGTTCGTGTTCTGCAGTGTTTTGGGCTGCCAAGTTTTTTTTTTTACCTTCTGGGGTTTTTTTTTTTTTTTTTAATCTAATCTTAATTGAAGTTTAATGGTTTTTAATGTAATAATATGAAAAAGTTGGGATAAAATGGTATATTGCCTTGAAAATGGGAAAAAGTGAGTTAAATGAAGAGATGTGGTGCAGCTCGGCGGGTTCAACGGGCGGAACGGGCTGAGCGGGTGACACGGGCTGGACGGGTTGGAGCGGGCCAAATGTGAAAACGGGCTGCAGGATGTAACCGGCCCGTTTTCAAGTCCGGGTCCGGTCGAACTGATTGAACCGACCGGGCCGGGCCGGGTCCAAAAACATTGCTATACACTAGTAAATCGTGTGCCTGCCAGTGGGAGGTTTATAACACTGGCCATGACCTATAGAGGAGATGTCTATTTCGTTCCCGTACTATATCCGTTTTTCGTGATTACACTTGTTGGTATGCTATAAGTTTAATTAAGGGCTATCCATATATTTACTTACTGAGTTATCTCATAATTTTTCCTTGTCCACCATTTCAGGAAGCGAAGTTAAGGATGGAGAAAAACGAAGGGAGTGACGAGTTAAAAGGCTAGCCATCTTATAAATTGAGCATAGATTTAGATATAAATCATGATTTTGTAAGCTAAACTTTAATTGGAGATTTTATAATATCAAAGCAAATTTTATAATTTTATCTTCAGATTTAGTAGTATCAGATTGTGGTATGATAAGGTCCGAACCTTGTGCATTTGTGGGACCCTCTCACCGCGTTTGTTGCACCTCGGATTCAGGTTATAGGGCGTGACACGGAATTCATCCCCATTTTCTGTAGAATTTCGGACATCACAAGACAGCAAATTAACTGGATAATTTTAGGCTTGGAGGAGCTGTCAACATACCAGAATTTCCAGCAGCAGAACCGGACCTGGCATGGGAAGAAGCCGGCGGGAATTTGGGGAGAAAAATCAAGAAATCCACTGGAAATTGGGAAACCAAGAGAAATTAAGGTAAACCCAAGCCAATTCAAGGAAAAACAGAGAATTAATGGCTGTTTCTTACCGAAAAACCCAGAATTTCGCACCCACATAGCAGAAACTGACGGACAAGGGAAGAAGAAGCAGAGCAGATCCGGGATTTTTGGGTTGAGGGAGAGAGTTCTAAGTCCTAAAACTTGTTATTGAGCAACAAAGAAGGAGAAATTTCAAGCTTCTCTTACCGGTTTTTCAAGGGATGGCTGTCGGCTTGCTTGGTTCCTTTTTTTTTTTTGTTTCGGGTTGCAGTAGGGTCGGGAAGAGCAGAAGCACGCGGGCTGAAGAAGAAAGGAAGAAGAAGAAAAGAAATAAGCCATTCTTATCCAAATCTTTTTCTCTTTAAGTCCCTCAAGTTTGGAAATTTTGGCTATCAAGTCCCAAAATAATATTTTTTCACAATTTAGTCCTTAACTTGATGCTAAAATATCACAAAATTTTGGGGTATTACACTCATAGTCTTTCCTTGTCCACCATTTCAGGAAGCGAAGTCAAGGACGAGGAAAAACGAGGGGAGTGACGAGTTAGAAGGCTAGCCATCTTATAAATTTGATATAGATTTTAGATATAGATCATGATCTTGTAAGCTAGATTTTAATTGGAGATTTGTTAGTTTACAAGAGATTTGACCTTTGAGATTTTGAGCTTAAGGCATGTTGGACATAGAATTATTTTGAAATATCTGATTTAAGTTATTGGATTGCCAGATGTGAATTGGATAAGTTCCGAGCCTTGTGCATTTGTGGGATCCTCTCACGAGTGTACAGCGTCTGCCACGTCCCCGGATTTTGGTTCTGGTGCGTGACATATTATATAATTTATTATATAATAATTATATAATACAAATAATAAATTAATGCTAATTAAGTTTTTAACTAAAAAATAATTTAATAAATAGTATGTTAATTATTAATTATTAATATTAAAAGATTGGTTCATGCTCTGGTAGATGACAAGGTAAAACCATTTGCCTTTTTTTTTTGCAACATGTTAATTAGTAATAATTAAAACTTAAAAAGTGGAGAATATAAAGGTTAGAAGATAGAAAGTTATGGCATTTAAGATACTTAAATGTAGAAAAAGACATGGAGATGGATAAAAAGATGAGGATTGGGAGATGAAGAGACAATACAATTTAAATATTCAAAAAAAAAATTGCATTAAATATTGAATGATTTTTCTCCATGTCCTTCCATCTTCCCTTTTTTTTTTTGGGGTACATTAGAGGAAAATAAACATAACTAAAAATAAACTAAAAACAGAGGAAACATGTCCCCAGTTGATCCCCTATAAGGATGGGCCTGACTCCACCAGGCGGAGAATCCTAGATTTCCAAACTTGGTGGTAAAGAGTGTCCCAAGGAAGCTAGGAAGTCAACAGCAACATCCCCTTCCCTTAAAGTATGTTGTAGTAAACAAGTCTCAAACTCCAGCATCAAATCCTTAATATCCAATAAAATGGCTACAAACAGGTTGTCTAGCTTATAATTCTCAAGAATAAAATGAACAGTCATCAATGAATCCATTTCAACAACTACCCGAGACAACCCAAGAGAGTGACATAATCAAAGCCTTTCCCTAAGGCCCCAAAGCTCTACAATAAAAATAGAAGTAGCACCCACATTAACTGAGAATCTTGAGATCCAATTACCAGAATTGTCTCTGGTTAAACCCCTTGGTCTAGTAGAGTTGCTAGCAGCGTTGTAAGACCCATCAGAATTTAATTTAACCCATTCCTCCTCTAGTGGGGTCCAACTAATCCATCATGGTTGTTGTAAACGAATTGACGATTCTGGACTCATTGCAATCATGGTATACTGCGCCTGCTGAAGAATCCTAGCACATAGCTCATGCGGTCTAAATTTATGTGCCTCAAAAGCAAGGGCATTTCTAGCTTTCCAGAGTAACCAAATAGTAGAGAGGAACAACGTCCCCCGTGGTACACCAGCATGCTTATTCTGTCGGGATGGAGTTGAGAACATCCTAATCCACGGAAGAATTTCCAATGTAAAGAAAGCAGACCTATTAAACCCCAACAGTCCCCAAACAAACTTAGCAAAATAATAGTCATGCAACAAGTGGATGGGAGTTTCGTCAGAATATTTTAAGGTATAAGGTATAAGGTATACAAAGAGAATATTCTAAGGTATAAGGTATACAAAGAGAATATTCTAAGGCATAAGGTATACAAAGAGAATATTCTAAGGCATAAGGTATACAAAGAGAATAGTCTAAGGTATAAAATATTTACAATAAGTGTGTTCACATCTTAAGAATATCTTATATCCCACTCTATAAATAATGGCTCCACCTGAGCAAATAATCAATCAAATCCTATTTAATTCAACAATCTTTCAATACTTTTCCAAGCAAAGGCAACAAAGAGGCCATGGAGAAAGCTTCCTTCAAGATGGCATTTTTGGTTATCTTGCTAGCCACCAGTTAGTTCCAGTCTTCTCTTAATTATATACCTCCATAGTCCACACCACTTGCTAGCTCTCCTGTTCATACACACATACGCATACTCTTCATTAATAATTACATTAAAACATATGGTAATCAAAGTCTTTGGTATGTAGGTATGTTTTTTTCAACAAAAGCAATAACTTGGGGACAGAGCTGCAGATTTCCTATTGAATGCAAGTCTATTATGTGTCGGCCAGACGTCTCTGCTATATGCAATGGCTGCCAGTTTTCTTGTCCACCAATTGACGAAGAAGACAACTTAAAAGGTGCATTGATATGATATGCAATCGCAATTGCTGCTTCCCTAAAATTGCCTCTACTAGGATTGTCAAAATTTCTTTTGTCATCCTAAAAAGAAATAAATTAAACTAATAAGTGGCTTACACATCCCTTTTCTACGTATACATATGCATGCATTGGATTACGGAAAAAATTAAATCCATTCGTTTCAAATTCCATGCTCGGTTTGTGATTGATATATATATTGAGATTAACTGCTGGACTAAATATTTAGTGCTTGAAAAAGTATACAAATAATATAAAAATAGAGTTGATTGAATGAAATAGGGGGATCAACTAGAAAGCACTAAAATACCAAATATGAAAACACGGGAAAGACAACACAGAACCTAAATAATTAGGGTTGGGCATTTGGGTCACATTGTCTGAATTGAATCGGTTTTTTGCACTACTAGATTTAGGGCACATTTCGGTCAATCATATTGACCGAAATAGTGCCATATATGACCGAATAAATCGTATTTCGGTCAAAATCACTAACCGAAATGTATAGCCCAAATACCCTCTGTATGAAATAGTATTTCGGACAAAATTTCATCTTAACCAAAATAACTCATCAATTCAGTTAATATAAGTGACCGAAGATGTGAGTGGGAAATCATTAAAATAACTACTTCAATTCGAACAAGTAATTTGACTGAATTTAATAATAATATTTTATGTAAAAATTTTGGTCAATATAATTGACCGAATTAAAGGAAGGGCTATTTTTGGTATTCGAAATAACTTTTTCAGGGTTAATAACTAACCGAAATAAGAGCACAAAAACACTTCTCCCAGCCCAATCTCGGTCAAGTAAAATGACAGAAATATATGGCCAAGTAAAATAACCGAAATATATGGCTAAAATGACCGAAATATATGGCCAAAATGTTAAAAATGTGGTGGAATTTTTTAGATGTATTTCGGTCAATATTACTGACCGAAATATACTGGCAAAAAATATTAAATTTTTGGCGATAATTTTAGGTGGGCAAAATTGGCGAAAATTTCCAATTTATTTCGGTCAAGTGGTCAAGTATATTGACCGAAATATATCTACAGAAATTTTTAAAATTTGGGCGGAAATTTTACGCAGGTGAAGTGGACAGAAATTTCCAATTTATTTCAGTCAAGTATATTGACCGAAATATATATCCAGATTTGAAAAAAA